AGGCTTCCAGTGCAGTTGTTGAAGTACTGGCGTGATATGTTGTCTGTAGCATGTTTTTGTGAGACAACGCGCAGCATTGTTCTGAGCCACTTGTAATCGGTGCATGGTTCGATCGGTTATGCCAAGCAGAAGGGCATTGTGATAGTCGAGATGGGACACGACTGTTGCATTGATGACCTTTGCACACGCTTCCTGGGTGAGATGTTGTTTCACCTTGGAGATTCTCCTAATGTTGAAATATATCTTTTTTACAATGGACTTGACTTGTGTTTGGTGTAAATCAGATGTGTGGATACTCAAAAATTCCAAAAAACTTTTGGACAATTTGAAATTTTTTTGAGATTTTACCACAATCAACAGCTTAAAAACTTACGACTTTTCAAAGTTATACACAACCATTTCCCACGATAAATTAAAGTCCAGGCTTTTTGATATCATCGACAGCTGCTTTTTCAATAAAAATGGAACTCGTAAGTTTACTTACCTGGTTATTGGTCATTTACAAAATGTTTTTGTTAAAACACATTCTAGTTGCACACACAGGTACTCTGGAGTTGACATCAAAAAGATGCTTCAGTTTCTGATTGACAATATCAATGAGGTTTTTGGAGACCAGGTATTCCAACAATCTATTGGAATTCCAATGAGTAACAATTTCGCTCCGTTATTAACAGACCTATTTTCATATTCATATGAAGCAATATTTGTGCAAAATATCATGCGTGAAAAGAAGAAAACACTTGCTCTGGAAATATATAGAGGATATCTATATTGTGTGATTTGATGTTGGCTTTATCCAATGAGTTGAAATGGTGTATATATTCGCGAGGCTTGCCGAGCGAATATACACCATTTCAACGAGTTGGATAAAGCCAATATCGAATCACACAAAGTTGTAAGGACCTTGGAATCGTGAAAATTAACTCTTTGTACGGTGCCAGTACAAAACGTGCTAGGCAAGGCTTTGTAGATTTGTAGATTCATTGTTGATCCATGGTATATGGTAAGTTACACCTACATGCACTAGGTAGGCATACGTTGTATAATATAAGAAAGCATTATTGAAGATGTTACAGGAATCTTATAACAACAATCTTAATGCTAGTCTTTACCTTTTCCGAAAACTATTTAAAGGGGGGGGGGTGTAAGATCTTTCTTCAAGTAACCAGTACAGGTTCTTGATAAAATAAGACACTTCTTTGACATATACGAGTCTTTTTCTTGCTTTTAACGATATTACTGCCCTTTATCATTCATTTTATAAGGGCAATAATTTTCACAAATAAAAGTTTCAATAAAATAAAATCTTGAAGCGAGGGATCGTGTCAAAACCGGAAGTTCTATTTGATAAAGCATCGACCCGTTGATAAAGCATAAGTTTATCAAACGGCCTGTATCACCCACACGTATGAGATGAATAGATATATTGTCAATTAACAATGGCAATTTCCATTCCTACGTTGATACGATAAATCCTGGTGAGCTTGAGATAAGATACCACAGAGTCTGACACATCTGATTCATACTTGGATATTTTACTTGAAAAAAAAAAACGTTAATGGTAATCTAACAACCAAGCTATATGATAAATGTGATGACTTTAACTTTTCTATCGTCAACTTCCCTTACTTATAACAGCAATATACCTTCATCACCTGCATACGGAGTGTATATATCTCAGTTGATTCGATACGCAAGAGCGTGCTCTATGTATGAACAATTTCTAAAACGAGGTAAATTATTGACAAGCAAGTTGATGAAACAAGAATATCAGCAGTCTCGTTTAAAGTCATCGTTTTGTAAGTTCTGTGGTCGACACAATGACCTTATCAGCAAATACAATTCATCATTAAGTCAAATGCTGACTGACGTTTTTCATACTAATTGTTAGTTCTTTATTTATACACTGAATTGACGACGGATTTTTTCGTTATTTCCCGATCATGACAAGGAGCACGCGGCGGTTGTGAATGGTCAGCAGGGGATGCTCATTCCTCCATGGCACCTGATCCCACCTCTGATGTTTCGGAGGTCCGTGTTTGCTCTGCTCCTATTTTGTATTGTTTTATGGAGTTTGATATTGAATACTGTTCTTTATCTACATACCCTTCCTCATGAAATACTAGAGATACTATGCGCAATAAGCTCACTTAATGATACCCCCACATCCCACAGGTTATAATGGCAAAGTGCATGTCTTGCTCTGGGAATCCCGAAATTGAAGGTTGAAGAAGTGTAAGATCAAAAATTGAAAAAAAAGAAAAGAAAAAAAGAGTTGCACATCGGCATTATATAATAAAGAATTTGTGAAAGTATCATTAAACTTTATTCAGTGGTATAGGAGGAAATGCGGATAAGAGTTGGGTAGTACCAAACCCGAAATATGTTTCCGATCAAAAAGTAAAACAAGAAGTACACAGTGGCTCTATGTAACAAACATTCTATGAAAGTCTCATGAAATTTAAATCAGTGGTATAGGAGGAGTCGCGGATAAGATGTGTATCTCAAAGCGTAACTGACAGACGGACTGACACTCCGAACACTATATACTCTTCCGCATTTCAAATCGGGGTATAAGTATGATACATCGTCATGTATATACTGAGTATCATTATCCCAGGGCCCTCTTTCATAATGGCATTCTTGGAACTCAGATAGTCATGAGGTACATGTACTTTTAAAACCTTGATTGATTATGACTCTGCAATGTTGCAATGTGTACTGAGCATTGAACTTCAATTTGTGTTCAATTTCTCAAAACAAGCCATAAATATATTCTGCTCATTAAAAAAAAATGGTATTATGCAATTTGCCTATTTAAATTCCAAATTTACCAAACATTTGAGACAATCATTTGTACTAATCAATACTTATCTCTTTTCCTAATTAAACTTTCAAATTGTCATGGAGTGCAGTACAAACAATGATTAACAGAATACGGTCATTGTCTGTGGCTCGAAAGTGGGTGCTCGCCTGAGCACAATGACATTATTTCTCTCTTATTAAATCTATGACATAGAGAACATATAATTATACAACGCATTAAAAATAGTTTCTATATGTAAACAGAGTATTTAACAAAATGAATTTCCATGGTATTTTTCATTTATTAACTTGACAGGTACGTAGTATCGTTTTGAAGGAAGGGGACCAGTCACCAGAGAAAAAACACACACACATACAAAAAAGAAAATCTTGTCCCCCCCCCCCCCCCGGGAATATTTTCCACATTTGAAGATCCTACTTCAGGGGGAGGGGTTGGATCATACCTTACCAAATTACCCTTATTTGACTATACTTCAAAAAAAAAAGTGAAAATTACTGGTATCATTATTTGGAAAACTGTGTAAACTATTAGCACTCTAACAAAAACATCTCCCTGACAAGATTACTAGTATATGACGTCTTATAAAATAACAGGAAACAGTTTTTCTGGTATTCTGAAGGATTTGTTCAAAACATTGACGACTTACTGAAAACAGAACATTTCCCAAGAAAGAAACGTGAAAAGTTATTGAAAAAAAGGCGATCCATCACTTCCATACTGAGGCTTGAAAAAAACCGCATGGAAGCAGACCCAGACTTCGGAATGGTTAGAACCCTTCATAACAGCGTTGAACCTATCAAAATTTGGAAATTCAACTTCTCGTTCGATGATGTTCCATGTACATAAAATTTCTCACCAATAATTTTCATGTTCATTTGTTCGTAGAGCTCTCCCGTGCAGTTAAGTCATGATTTATTATATGTATCGTTACTATAATTATTCGCTAGCCATGAGGAGAGTATTGTATCAGAAACTCTTAGCTAGCGAAGATGTTACTGGAGAGGGGGGGGGGGGGTCGAACCAATGTCAATATCTTTAACAGATGAAAATGAATCTAAAGAATTTATTCGTTCATGTTCAATATGTGTGTGGTGTGGAAAATAAAAAATGAATGAATAGACTTATCTGTTTTTGGTTTAAGATTTTATCGTGCTCAAAGTATACTCTATTGAGTACAGAATATTCTGTAAACTGGGAGACATAAAAAGCATAGGCCATAGGCAGCATTACCTTGCAGGTACTGTATAAATGAGGAGTGTTGACGATGATTTGACGAATTTGTTAAATTCATACAGCTGCGGATCAAAGATACTAGTAACTTCGATTTATCCGTGAATTCGCAATATCTATGTTTGTACTAAACAGTTGTGTGCCAAAAGTAGACATAATTTTTTTTTCTCTGTATATTTCATTGAAAACGTAATTGTACATTTTCTAGTTTAAGTACTGAAATATAAAATTGTTAAAAAAAAAAATATGACCATTGATTTTTTACAAAATGTTGTTTTCAATAAAATATAATTATATATAGAGAAAAAAAATTAAAATTATCTTCACTTTTGGCACACATCTGTATCATATATTATTAACTTTCTTCTTTCCTCAAATCTACTATTTTTTTCCTTAAATACAGTATGTTGTATGACTTAAAAATAAAACAAGACATATTATTTGGTTATTAATATATCTGTACTTCTTCACACACAGAGAATTCACAATTGATTCACAAGTCGAAATACAGTATATACATGCATAATCACTAAATGGTTTACAAGAAAAATACAGTAAATAGGACTATTAAATGTAGATTAGAGAGAGCAGAGACAGAAAAAAAAAATCAACTCTGTGTTAGTTAATAAATTAATACAGCTTGTATATTCCATGCTTATCTAATGTTTAATGTATGGTTTCATATCTGATTTACATACTGTTATAAAAATTAAGATCTCAAATTAAGTTTGCAGTCTTGCAATTCAAGTAATATTTGAATACAAAGTAAATTCTATTGATAGAAGTATTGTAGAAACCACTTAAAAGTGTTCAATCATAAGGCATAACAAATCAACATAGATTCTGTCTTTACAGCAAAACTTAACATATTCCATGGGAAATTGTTTTTGCAGATAAACTCAAGACATATCCATGTCTTCATGTGAAAATATGTAAACATATTTGTAATACATAAAATTCTTAAACATTACAAAATAAATAAAATTCATATAATTTCAAAATTTCTACAGATAAAATCTATTGGCAAAATCTTATAATGAAAATGCACATATTTCCAAACCTCTTTTTAAACTGGAAATAGCGTAAGTGATAAAACGGATGCTGTAAATTAATACTTCATGATATCCATATAAACATGGTAGATTACAAAACAATAATGTCAGGAAATAGACAAAACAAATGACCTACATTGTACATGTATTATGATTCCAGTCCATTCATATCACTCAACATCTCACAAACAGCACTGGTTAATAAAACACAGTCATTCAGTACACACCAAGCCTTTTACACAGTTTACAAAGAGAGCAGTCAGACGTCACTATCTCCCATCCCTTCTGTGACTGGTACTACATCCATCACTGAATAACACAATCCTCATCTTCTTTTGGTTCCTCTGATGACGTGACTTCATTCTGAGGTTTGAGAGGCCGGGCGGGGGACTTTTTCAGACTAAGTGCCCTCTTGGCGGGCCCCAAACTTATGTCCTCAGCATCCTCCATTTTCTTCTTCACTGGACTGTTTGTGATGGTCTGCAGAGGGCGCTTTTCAACACCTGTGGGATGCAAAATATTTTTGTTAATTTTAATTATACTGTTGAAACTTTTTCAAATTAATGCTGATAATATATATACCAATTGAAGCAACAGAACTGTGGGTTTTTTTTATTATTAACCACTGGGGCTAATAATGATTCAACAGGTCTTTCATTGAGATAGTACTAGATTGGTGATATGATCGATGCAATATTAAATTTGTTAGCTAAGCCTGGTGCTGTTATAGAACAGACAACATCCAAAAATAAGAATTCAATGTACCTACCATTCAAACTCTTCCTTTTCTTTGGTGCGATATCATCCTGGGTTTCTGAGGACAACCGTTTCTCTCCAGGACGTGGTCTGTCTGAATCCGGTACTGTATTTCCCGGAACATTTAATCCTTCCTTATTGGAGGAGACACCTGACCCTCCCTGTGACTGGGGGACACTCCAGAGCCCCTTAGTCCTCACTGAGTCTGACGTAGCACTAACAGAGTTCACAGGTCTTACACTCGTCACTGAAGTTTTATTGCTCTCGGTATTTATAGCACTACTTACAGTCTTTGAAGTCACTGGCTGAAATGAACTAGAACTTGTCCCTATGGGCTTAGTCACTGGCTCAAACTTACTTCTGCCGACAAAAGCACTCTTCTCTCCAATCCTCTGAATCTTATCTTTGGAGAAGAGAGACTTAGAAGTTTGTGAGTTTTGGGGTGACCTCCCTTTGTTGGGAGATTTCTGTGTACCTCCCCTACCTGGGACCTGTAGGAACCTGGCCTCTGGCTTAACAATAGAGACCCCTCCCACAGAGTTTATCTGACCACTACTGCCCCCAGCAGAGTCCACTTTAGATTGACCAGCTGACCTTGGTGATCTGGACAATGATATTCCTTTCCTAGCAGCTGAAGGCTTCTGTGAAGATTCTGTCTTAACTGCAAATAAAAGTAACTCTTATCAACAAATTCATAGTCATCCTTAATTAATAAACAGACATTAAAGTTAATCTTTATCTTTTTCTAGACTTTACACTCAGTAGATGTTTTTTCATAGTGTTCCCAGCATTTTTTAAATTATTTTATTTAGATTTACATGTATATTTTGTTGTTACTGCTTTTGATGAGAAGCAGCTTAATATTAATAATACAGATACTTAACAGCTGAAGTTGTATTTTTTTAACCTACCTATCATGTTACATTTGTTTTAATCTCATATTACTTTTTACTATTACTTACCTACCATCTAAGTATTTTCTATCTTGCTTTTTATCAGCTTGTGTTTATCTGCATGATTTTAGACTTACTGTGGAATCATTATTATTCGTGGGGGACCGATGGTTGTGGATTTCCTTGCTTACCTTTATCCATGAATTTACTTCACCAAAAACAATCATTTTTTTTGTCAATAGTTATTCTTTGAATCTTCTGAGTATACTATCACAATTTATCCACAAAAGTACATCCCCACAAACCAACAAAATTTTGCTTATCCATGAACATTGACCCCCCAAAATTAAAATGATTCAAAAGTATTAGACTTTAAAAATTTTTACTTGAATTCTTTTATAGCTTGTCCACTTTCACTTGATATTGAAGCCCCCCCCCCCCCCCTTGTCTTCGGTTGTGATTTTGACTTACTTGACTTTTGCAGATTTTCCACCTTGTGTTGTAGCTGTGTGATTTCTGTCTTTAATGTTGAGACTTCCTCCTAAATGCAAAAAATAATAACATATAGATGTGGGAATATTTACCACAGGTTCACATTACAATGTTTAGCACAAAAGAATCCTTGTTATAAAGTGTGGCTGGTTTACCTCTTGTTCAACTTTCTTGCTGTCCAGAGTCTCCTTTAGTTTGTGATTCTTATTCCTTTCTGCTGTCAATTCTGTAGAAAGCCGAGTACACTTATTCTCCCACTTAGATAAGAACTACAAAATACAGAGATGTCTTTATAATAATGCTGTTTTTGTCAACACAAAAGTGTAGAAAGCACTTCTCTGATTATGTTCATATATTCTTATTTACTGAAACAAGAGGCCCATGGGTCTTATAGGTCACCTGAGCATCATGCAACAACTTTCAAATGATTGACTTTGGTTCATGTTTTAAGCTATGGCATTCACAATTTTGAAAGAGGCACCATTGCTAATCATAAATATACATTTAGCAATTGTTTAGTTTGTTTACTTAATTCCCATAATCAGGGTAGGCCACTAGGGGAACACAAATGCATGTCAACTAATCAGTAATATTCAGCAATAATCAGGAGTGCCCCTATCACACATGAACCCCTGACCCTAGGTCTACACATTGCATAATTTTTGAAAAGGCACACTTGCTTATCAAAAATGTTTGATTAATAACAAGGAACAGATTTCAAACAATTCATTTTCAGTATATAAGTAGAGCTCCCCCCCCCTTTGGTATCCCTGACCCAGGGGCCTTGAAATTCACAATTCTGGAAGAAGAGCCCTTGCACATCATAACTACCAGTATATAAATAGTTCATCTGCTTATTACCCAGGAGTAGAGAAAAAGATTTTCATAGATGTAATGTATTATCACAATATAATCATTATAGAGCCACGCCCTAACACCATAACCCCTAACCATAGGATCATAAAATTCACAATTTTGGTAGAAGCATTCTTGTTCATCATAACTATGTCCTCAATTAGTTTATTTAATACAGTGTACCTAGAAGTGAAGAAGAAGCTTTTCAAAGAATAAATGCCTTTTTACTATAAAATCAATATTCAATAGAGCCCCGCCTTAACACCAGAACCCCTGACCCTGGGGCCATAAAAAATTCACAATTTTGGTAGAGGCACTCTTGCTCATCAGAACTATGTACTTATTTAGTTTACTTAATACCTAGGATAAGAGAAGAAGATTTTCAAAGATTTAATGCATTTTCACTATATAGTCAATAGAGCCCCACCCTAACACTAGAATCCATGACCCAGGGGCCATAAAATTCACAATTTTTGTAGAGACACTCTTGCTCATCATAACTATGTACTTAATTAGTTTGTTTTATACTCAGGAACAGAGAAGAAGATTTTCAAAGAAATAATGCATTTTCACTATACATGTATAATCAATACAGCCCCGCCCTAGCACCATAATCCCTGACCCTGGGGCCATAAAATTCAAAATTTTGGTAGAGACACTCTTTTCCTTTATAACTTTGTACTTAAATAGTTTATTTAATACCCAGTAGCAGAGAAGAAGATTTTCAGAGAATCTATGCATTTTCACTATATAATCAATAAAGCCCCGCCCTTACACCAGAACCCCGACCCTGGGGCCATGAATTTCAAATTTTGGCAGATGACTCAATGCTGATTACAATCATACCAACAGTTTGACTGCTTGATGTCCAGGAGTAAAGAAGAAGATTTTTAAAGATTGCACTAATTTTAGTGGTTTTTGCCCCAGGCCCCAGGGGGGCGGGGACCATGAAATTCACAATTTTTGTTCCCCTTCACCCATAGATGCTATATGCCAAATTTGGTTGAAATTGGTTCAGTGGTTTCAGAGAAGAAGCTGAAAATGTTCAAATGTTAACGCACGACAGACGAAGTGATAGCAATAGGTCACCTGAGTTTACTCAGGTGACCTAATAAAAGCAGAAAATTATTAATTCATATAATAGCTTAAGGTAAAGTGCCTCAATGCTAAACAAACACATTACTTTCATTCAGTTCCAAATAAGGATACTTGCATATTATCATTGAAAGAAAATATGGATATGTTTATGATTTTGAAAATTTCTATAATTCGACAAAAACACTGAATCATTTACTGCGCCATTGCTTGAGACATACCTCATCATACTTGTTGCTCTGCTCCTTTGATTTTCTAATCTCTGACTCTAATTCCACAATTCTCTCTGTGAGCTGAGTCTCTTTCTTCTCGCTGGCTTCCATCTTCTTTCTATACTTTTCTACCTGTTTTTCCAGCTTCTCCTTTTCGGTTTTGAGTCTAGTTCCTTCCTCTTCAGCTGTTGAATTCTGGGATAGTGAGTCCCTGAGTAAACTCAGCTCAGCCTCGTACTGTTCTTGAAGTTTTTTGCTGTCTTCTCTGTGTTTGTTTTGTAGCTATAGAGATAGAACTCATGTGTCAAACAAAACAATGGATTTCATATCATAAAGATGTTTGAAGTTAACTATATACATCTTAATATCAACACTCCTGAATCAACAAAATGAAGATAACAGCTTTTAGTTTTTTTCTATAAGAATACCTTACCTTTTTAACTTTAAGTCTTTTACAATATGAATATCTACCCTCTTGCTTAAGGAGACTTTATAGATATCTGAGTGTCTGCTCTCAGACTTTTATCATATAAATATCTGACCTCTTGTAGCTTGCTGTGATGGCTTTCTTTTAATTCCAGCAGATTCTTAGAATGTTGTTCTTCCATCTCCATTTGTTTGCTACATTCTGTTTGTATTTGTCCTTTAAGTTTCGCTACTTCTTCTTGGTGCTCAATCTAAATGTAGTTCCCCATAAATAAGATTTTTTAAATTTACAGAAAGAAAGAATGCTAACCATTAAACATTGCAATTTAAGGGGAAAATATTTTTGACTTTTAATACAGTATTCCATGTTTCTGATTGTAATGACTTCTTTTACTTTTAATGAACATTTAGTCAGATACATACCCTTAGCTTTTCAATCTCCTCTCCTGCCTTTCTGATTTTTTCCTTCTTTGCATCAGCAAGCTAGCAAAAAACCAAATGATACAGATTTTAGCAGCTACACATGTAAAACAAAAACCCCATTTACTTGAATACAGATTCACTGTTTATCTTTACCTCTAATTCCATGGTGGCTATCCTCTTTTCCAGTTCTGCCTTTTGGTCCTCCAGAATCAGGAACTCCGACAGCAGTTCCCCTTTCTCCTTCTCTTTGTTGGAGTTCTGCTGCTGGAGGTCCTGGATTGTCTTCTCTTTATCAGTCAGCTGCCTCTCCATGTCCTTGGTCTCTGTATCCTTGATTCCTAGACAAGCCTGCACATCCTCCAGTTTCTCTGTGTTCTCCCTCAGTAGCCTCTCTAATTTGTCCATCTCCTCCTTGTAACTCTGGTTTCTGATCTCTGAGGAAGCTAGCTGTTCCTTTTTCTGGTTTAACTCTGTAGACAGTTCCTCCACCTTGTTCCTCTGTTTCTGGATGTCCTTCTCGTATCTACAATGCTCCTCCTCGTACTCCTTAATCTTCTGTTCTAACCTGTCCACGTCCTCCTTGGCTGCTGTATCCTTCTGAGACTGGCTGTACAGTTTATCTGTTAATTCCATGATCTCAGCATCCATGGACAGTATCTTATTGTTCAGATTCTCCTTCTCTTCTTTCCACTGCTGTTCTACTTCCTCAGATTTCTTCCTTTCATTAACTTCCATCTCCTGTATAGTGTTTTTCATTTCTTTCACTAATTGAAGAGACTCATCCCTTTCAGCTGATATTTCTTTTAACTCAGACTCTAATAAACTCTTCTCTGCTAAAAATGCCTCATTTTCCTTTTCCAAACTTTCCATGGCATCTTGATAAGTTCCCATGTCTGACTGTAATTCTTCCTTCTCTTTGGTTAATTTTTCACAAGTCTCTGATAATTCAGCAATCTCGGCCTCTTTCTCGCTGAGCTTATTGCTGATTTCCGTCACCTTGCCTCGGAGATTCAGCAAATCGTTTTCCTTCTCCACGATCTGCCTCTTCTTCTCCTTGACGATGGACTGGTACTCCACGATGGTGGGTTCCAGTGAGGAGCTGATGACCTGTTTGATCTCCATCACCTCTCCTCCACACTCCTCCGTCACCGACACCAGCCTCTCTTTCTGTTCCTGTACAGTGACCTCCTTCTCTTCCACTTCCATCTGTAACTTGTTGATTCTTTCGTTCAGTTCGATCATTTCTTTGCTAAGCTGTTCTTTCTCCTGTCTAACCATATCAAGATCTTGCAGAGCTTCCCCTTTCTCCACAATCATCAACTCTAACTCTGAGTAGGTTTGTTCCAGTTCTTTTGACAAAGAATCAATCTTTTCTTTCAATTCCTTGTTTTCGTTTTCAATTTTTTGTACTTCCTTACAGTCCACCATTTTTTCTTTGGTGTCTGTCAGTTCAGCTGTCTTCAGATCTAACTTCTCCTGAAGCTGTGACAGAAGTTCTCTGGATCTGGACAGCTCTTCTTCCACCTCAGCGACCCTGCTCTCCATCGCCTCAGCCTTACCTCTCAGCTCCTCCTGGCTCTGTTTATTGAATTCTAATTCCGTCTGCTGCTGAAGACAATTTTCTTGCAGTTCCTCCAGGTCACTCTTCAGCCTTGCCTCCTTCTCCTCTGCCTCTATCTGCAGTCTCTGGTTCTCTATCTGTAACTGTTGTATCTTACCGACACTTTCCTGGTTCTCTGTCTCTAACCTCTGTACAGTTTCATGCAGACATCTTGACTGTTCATTGGCATCGTCTATCTCCTGCTGAGCATTCTGGGTAAAAGTCTGGGTACACTGCAGTTCTGATTGTGAAGCGCTGATCTGTGACTCCAGGGAACTTCTCTCCTTCTCCAAACCACTGACGTAACTCCTCATGTTGTGCAATTCATCCTCTAGAGAAACCTTCTCCGAGTTCAGCTCAGAAATCTTACTTTCCTTCTCAGCTACTTCTTTTGTCAAACTTTCTAATTGAGATGCTAACTCCTCTATTTCTTTTATTTTGGAGTTCATTTCTGCTTCATGACATTTGTTAATCATTGCAATATCTTGATCTTTCTCTTTCGCTGACAAAAGTTGTTCTTCATTCATTTCAATCTTCTTGGTGAACTCTTCTTTCACTTTCTGTAACTCACAGCTCAGTTGCTCATTCTCGCCTTTGGCAGTATTAAGTTGCATGTGAAGGTCACTGACCTGTGATTCTAATGCTGTGGATTTCTCTTTTTCTTGGTTTCTAGCCTCCTCAATATCTTCTATATGCTTATCTTTCGTACACAGTCTTTCATTCATTTCTTCCAATTCTTGCTTCACAGTTTCAAAATCTTCTGCCTTTCTTTTCTCCGTCTCTTCAGTGTCAGCTAGCTGACTTTTAACTACTTCCATTTTCTCCTCTAGATCTCTGATGATCATCTGTTTGTTCTCCATCTCGTTATTGTGAGTAATGTTCATCTGTTCCATTTCTCTCCTTGCAGCTTCAGCTTCCTCTGTTAACTGATGCTGCCTTCCTTCCAGGCCCCTGTTCTGTTTCTGAAGAGCTTCTACAGAGTCTTGTAACACTATCCTCTCTTTCTGTAATTCCTCTAACTGTTGTTGCACACTCTCAGAAGAACACTGGCTTGACTCGATGACTAATTCAGATTCTTGAAGTCTATTTTGTAAATTAGTCTTTTCATTTGTTAGCATGTCAATGTTTTGCTGAAGACCGTGAATTTGGTCTTGAAGTGCAGTAATCTGTGTGATATTTTCAGACAGGACATTGTTCAATTTTTCCTCTGATTCTTTTGATTGCAGGATTTCAGACTGTAATTCTTCAATCCTCTTACAAGCTTCTTCATAAGAGGCGGTTACAGTGATAACCTTTGCTTGCAGCTCTTCTTTACAGGCTTTTTCTTCAGAGAGTTTCTCTTTCAGTGAGTCTAAATCAGCAGAAAGTTGATCAATATCCCCCTGCATTTGCAAGGAAATGTTTTCCTTTTCTTTCATGATATCCTCTATTTTATTTTCCAGTTCAGCTAAAATGGTATCCTTATCTGCAACATCAGAATTTTTGGCTTTAATGTGGATTTCAGCTTCTTGGATCTTCAGTAGATTTTCTTCGCTGGTCTCCAGAAGTTTCTTGTTCTCACTGTTTAAAGTCTCTATCTGATCCCTGGCTCTCTGGAGGCTGTTTTCTAACTCTACACACTCGGATGTTTTCTGACGAAGCTTACTATCGGTATCAGCCAGTTTTTCGGCCAGTTCTATTTTCATCACATCTAGGTCCTCCACAGAGTTCTGTAAAGCTCTGTTTTCCTCCTCCAGCTGACTGATCTGCTCCCTGTTGTTCGTGTCCTGAGACGTCAGATCCTTCATTCTGTCTTCAGTCCTAATGCTCTGCATTTCCACCTCAGACAGTCTTTCCTCCACCTGAAGTAATTTCTGTTGTAGCTCCTCCTTCTCTTCACTCAGCAGAGATTTCACATTCTCTCCTTCCTCGTAATCTTCTTGTAACTTTAAAATCTTGTCCCTCAAGTCTGATACAACCGACTCCTTTTCAGATAATACTCCCTCCAGTTTTTCTAACTTCTCTGTTAATGATTGAATTTGATCACCGCCCTCTTTTTTGGATAATTCCATTTCATTTTGAAGTTGCTCTTTTTCCACTGAGACTGACTGTGTCTGTAATATTTGTCCCTGTACCTGGTCTTCTAAATTTTCAATTTTCTTCACTTTTTCGGACAGGTCGCTCTCCAGCCTGGATTTCAGCTCCTCAAGTTCTCTGTTCTGCTCCTCTTTTGAACACATCTGGAATTCCAGTTCCTCAACATTTCTCTTCAACCCAGCACTGCTGGTGGTCAGTTCGGATAGTTCTTTTTCTAGGAATGAGATCTTTTCTTGGAGACTTTGCACGTGAGATTCACTCTGCTTGGTGATTTCCTCCACCTTTGCGGATAACAGTGATGCCTCCCCCTCTGCCTCTGAATGTCTCTGTAGAATCTCCAGCTCTCTGGAGGAAGCTTCTTTGAGTTCTTCCTTTAGACGACAGACCTCCTCTTCTGAGGACTGGAGTTGCTGGTGGCTACGTTCAAGTCTTTTATTTAATTCAGCCACCTGAACCTCTAAATCAGACTCCGCTCTCCTCAGTTGCTCACGTTTTTCTTCAACGTGACCCTGAAGTTCCAGAATCCTGGCTTCTAATGATTCAATAACTTTATCTTTTTCAAAAATTTGATCTAATTGTGCTCTGTTCTGAGATGATTTAACCTCTTCAAGTTCTTTAACCTGTTCTTTTAGTTCAGTGACTGAAGTCTCCTTGGTTTCAATAACAACAGTTAGTTCTGAAATCAGGTTCCTCTTCTCCTCTATTTGAGCTTGGAGTGACTGGATCTGAAGTTGGTTGGCTTCCATGTCTCCATGAAAATGCTCTATCTTTACATTCTTTTCCTCAATTTCAGCTGCCATGGTTTCAATTTTGCATCTTAGTTCTGAGGATTCCTTATCTAAACTTTCCTCAGCCTGAGTCTTTGACTGAATGGTTTCCTTTAATTTTATTTCCATGAACTCGTTTGCATCTTTCTGAGATTTAAGTAATGCCTCTTTCTCCTGCTGAGATTCTTTCAACTTGAACATCTCTCCTTCCAGTTCCTCTATCTGAATGAGCAGTGTCTGATTTTCACTAGTTTTCTTCTCCAGGCTACTGTGTGTTGATTTTATCAGGTGTTCCATATCCCCAAGCGAGGTTTTCAGTTTCTGTAGTTCGGCTACCTTTCGGTCCAGTATATCCTGTTTATACTGTAACTTCACGTGCAGGTCCTGGGTTTCTTTACTTCTCTGTCTGTCCAGTGCCTCTGACTCCTGTGTTAGCTGTTGAAATTTCTCTGTGTACGTCTCCAGGGACAGATTCTGCTGCTCCAATAGTTCCATCTTTATTTGAAACTCTCGCTGTAAATCAGTTAACTCTTCAGCCAACTGAGCACATTTATTATCCTTGCTGATGTTCAGTTCATCCACACTGTTCAACCTTTCTTGTAACTTAGCTACAGTCTCCTCCAGTGTACTAATATGAGCTATCTGGATGTTCATTTCTTCTTGTTTTTCTGCCAGACTCTGATCTTTGTCTGTACACTGATCTTGAAGCATGCCACATTTTGATTCCAATGTTTTTATATTTTCTTTACTTTCTTTTAATTCCACCTGGTACTTTTCAAGAGATTTCCCAAGGTCATCAGCATTAAGCTGAACCTTCTTCAGTAGAGTGGCTTTCTCACACTCACTGTCTTGAGCAGACTTCAGTTTTAGCTTCAACTCCTCACACTCCTGCTGTAGCTGTTCAATGCTCTCTGATTTCTTCCCCAGGGACAACCGCTCCATTTCTAGCACTGACGTCTGCTGCTCACAGTGAAGTTTGCTCTCATTCAGTTGTTTTTCCAAAGCCTCATTCATATTCATTTGTGAATCCAATTTTCCACTGACCTCCTCTACTTCAGATTTCAGTGAGGTTATATCCCAGTCTTTTTCCTCAGCCTGTGACTTTAAGCTTTCCACAGATTCTTCCATCATGGACACTTTCTGTTCTAGTGCCTCTATACACTCATCTTTGTCCTCCATATCCATCTGCAACATTTCGTGCTTGGCCTCCATTTTCTGCAGGTCTTCCTTCATTTGCTTTAATTCCACAGCTAGAGCCTCCTTCTGAGATGAAGTGCTCTCGATTAGTTCCTGTCCTTTTGCTTTTTCTGAACTTAACTCGTCTAACTTAACTTTGAGTTCTGAATTTTTATCTGTGAGTTTTGCCATGTCACATGAGAATTTATTTTCTGATTCCTTTATTTCTTTTTGCAGACAATCTATAATTGTTTCCTTTTCTTTCATCAGTTCCTCTGCCTGGCTGCTCCTTGTTCTTAAATCCTTTAATTCAGCTTCCACATCATTAACCTTCTCTGTTTCTTTATCCAAACTGCTGTGTAATTCATTCAGTGTTTGTTGGTGCTCACTTAGCTTTGTTTGTAAGGATGATATTTGACTGTCCTTGACCCCACATGCCTGCTCTAAATTGAGGCACTGTTCCTTCAGAGCCTTTATTTCACTTTCTTGCTGTAGTAAAGATTGTGCTCTTTTCTCCATTTCTAGACAAGTCTCCTCCTTCAGAGATCTTAACTCTTCCCTCAGCTTTCCCACCTCACTATCTTTCATTGACACAGCCTCATTGGCTTGTTGAAGACTTCTGGACATTTCCTCTAACCTCGTGGCTTGTTCTGTTGATTCCTGTAAACTCTTCTCCAGTTGTGAACACAATGTTGTCTGCTCGTCTTGGAGAGCTTTGATAGAAGTTTGCAGTTTCTCCTTCTCTTTTTCTAGAGACTCCACAGATTCCTTTAAATGTTCTTTGTTTTCCATCAAATCTTTGTTAGTTTTCTCCAGTTCCTCTACTTGAGTGGCCAGATTTTGCTGTTCATTAGCAGCAGTCTGCTTTATTTGTTCTAATTCTTTCAAGGCTGATGAGAGTTCAAGAGATTTTGAATTAACAACTTCATCTTCTTGTTCAAGTTTACATTGAAGATCTTTCAAAAGTGCTTCACTCTGAGCTAGACTCTCACTCAAAGTTTCATTTGCGTTTTGAAGAGTCTGAATTTCTGTCTGCTTGTCAGCAAGATCTTTCCTCACATTTTCCAATTCTATATTTTTCTCTTTCAGGACTTGTTCTAATTTGTCATGGTTTTCAATCAGGGATGACTGTTTCACAGACAGAGTTTCATTTTCATCAGAGAGTTTCTGAAGTTCTTTAGACAGGTTTTTTTTCACTGTATCAAGTTCAGATTGCAAGGTCTGTATTTCACTTTTCCTGTTTTCAACAATAGACTCTAATTGCTGAATTTGTTTCTCTTGTTTCTGTATTTCTTCATTCTTGACCCTCTCTACATCCTTGAATCCCTCAGATAATTTTCCAATACTTTCTTTCTCAGCTACCAGGGTTTCAATTTCATTCTCTAATTTACTGATTTCCTGTGATTTGACCTGCAATGCTTGTAAATGTTTCTCCTTGTCTTCTTTCATCTTCTTAATTTGTTCGTTCATGTACGACACTTGAGTCTGTTTGTTTGTGAGGTCTGATATGAGTTTGCGGTTCTCTGTCTCCAGTCTGGTACGGACTTCCTCCAGCTCCGCTGACTTACTTGTCAGGGCATCATTGGCCTGGCTCAGCTGGCTTTGTATGGTGGAGCTCTCTGCTGCCAAATCCTCGTTTTCCTTTCTCAACTCATCACATTGTAAGCTCAAATTCTTTATTTCATTACTCTTCTCTTTCAATTCATTTTCTAACTCTGTGATGTCTGCATTCTTCTTGTTAATAGCCTCCTTCAGTTTGTCTCTCTCCTCAGATAAATCTCCGAACTGTAGCTTCAGATTCTCCAGGTCTGTTGTCAATTTATCATGCTCTCTGCCTGAGTTTTCCTGCAGTTCAGACAAATCTTTTGAGACTTTATTCAGTTCCTTTTCCTTATCATGGAGAGCATCAGACACTTGCTGTAATTTGGATTGTAAATCCACACATTCTGAATCCCTTTCTTTTTTCTCTGACTGTAAAGTCTCCAGATCGGCATATGCTTTCTGGACATTCTGCTCTGCCTCTTCAAACCTCAACCTCAAATTTCTCAACTCTTCATTCTTAGAATTCTCTATGTCAATCAGCTTTTCTTTGACTTCTGTTAATTCCGCCACTTTACCCTCCGCCTCCTCTAATCTTTTTTGGGAATCCTGGGTAGCGGAGTCACACTGCATCTGAACGGAGAGCACCTGCATCTCCAAGGCTGTGATTTCCTTGTTCTTTGTCTCGGTGGCATAGTGAGCCTGAGCTAACTGTGTGTGAAGCTCACTGATCTCGCTCTGTAGGCTGGACTCTTTCTCAGACATCTGAGTCTGCAGTGTATCAAAGTTAGCCTGCTGTTCTGACATGGCTTTGTCCTTGGCTTCCGTCTCTTTCTTCATCTCTTGCAGCTGGTTGAGGGTACAGAGGTGACTGGAGTGTAGCTGGTCGTGTTTGGTCTGTAGACAGTGGTAATCCTCCTGGTGTTTCTTGAGCTTTGACTGTAACTCGTCTAGCTCTCCCTGCTGCCACTCCCGGACAAAGTTAAGTTGGCTGATTTCCTTCTCCTTTCTTTCCAGAATAGCCTTGCTGTCTGATATCTGTTTCTGTAAACCTCGGAGTTCATTCTGTTGGTCCTTGACTTCTTTGTCTTTGTTGAAGAGATTATCATTGTATTTTTTAGCCTCAATTTCATGTTCATTCAGAGAAGCTCTCAGTTTCTCCTCAGTAGCACTCCAGCTTCTCTGTGCATCTGTAAAAGAAATCAAATCCTTTTTATTCCTTATAAAATAATACTACAATTCACAAATGCTTGTGCCAGGGATTGATATCAACAGATGTCCGATTGTCAAGGCTTTGGAAAGTGAACTTTCTATGTACTACCAAGTATATCTAAATTTTACATAATTTTAAATTTTTTTCTAAATTTTGAGCAATCAGGTTTTATATCTGGACAAGTAAACATTCAAATTTTCTGGCCTGAAGGACAAGTCGATTTGACACCTGAAGGAACAAGAATCTGAGCAAACTAGAATTTTCCTTTTATGAGAAAGTCTTGATATGTTAAGTTATTTCTTTTTGGATGCTACTTTATAGAAAATCTTTTGAAAACCCAACAATAATTTCACAATTTCTAATTTTTCAATCAATAATAAGGTGTTTGGCCTCCTATTTGAACCTGAATTCTTATCACCCAAGGAATTGCATTACAGTTCTGCAGAAGATGTCAAAATGTGTCGTTTACTGACCGTATAGGGTAAAGGGATAGCAGTAAGACATCTGATTGACTCAGGGGAAACGATTATACCCCCAGTATAAAATTACAGCTTTGTCAAATGACCAGCAAGAGAAATATTCAACAGAACATTCTCTAATCAGTATACTTATAATACATCCTGTTTGCACACATTGTCATTTGAATACTAACCTTTCAGTTACTATCAACAGCTTGTGATTATACTCTGTTTTCATTAAGCTTCCTTGACCTTTGTTACAGGTTTGCCTTTGTACATGTACATGTATTTAATAACAACTTACCAGTCATTTGTTTGTTTTTCTCTGCTAGGCTGTCTTTGGTGATCTTCAGCTCAGATTTTACATTGTATAACTCAGATTCTTTCTCCTCCAGTTTTTTCTGGTCATTAACTTCTTTTTTCTTTAAGGCACTATAGAAAATGTAAATAAAAAAAATTAACATTTTTAAATGAACATGCTTCTATTGCTTCCATTCTGAGAATAATATGTTCAAAAATCACAATCAGTTTTGTCAAATCTACTTTAATCTTTACCTGACTATTTTCTGGGTTTGTCAGACTTTCTGTAAAACTGAGTTTTACCTGACTATTTTCTGGGTTTGTTAGACTACCTGTGTGACTGAGTTTTACCTGACTATATCCTGGGTTTGTCTCACAGGCACTTGTTTCAGTAATAAATTTTTAACCCATAGTATATAATAACACAAGGTTTGTCTAAATTACGGTAAAACCCCCCTCCCTTTTATCAGACTATTTTTTCTGGGTTTGTCAGACTTTCTGTAAAACTGAGTTTTACCAGACTATTTTCTGGGTTTATTAGACTACCTGTGTGACAGATTTTTACCAACCAAATCCTGGGTTTGTCTCACAGGCACTTGTTTCAGTAATAAATTTTTAACCCATAGTATATTTTTAACCCACAGTATAATAATAACACAAGGTATCTAACTCCGAATTACATGGAGTATCCCCCTCCCTTTGAATCGCGCTCATTTACACTTTTAGAGGAAATGCACAAGTAAACTTATTTACGTCTGATTTTCCCTGAAAACATTACAATGTTTATCTGATGTAATTTTAGAAACAGATTTTTAGCCAATCAAAATCTCTATGCTGGATCAGCACATACCGTTCCATGGTTGAGTCGACTTTTCCACTCGGCAAGCAGAGTTTTGACGTAATTTATCGTAGAAGACAATGGTAATAAATAGTTTGACAGTGCATTTCCTCTGAAAGTGCAAATGAATGCATTTCTGAGGGAGGGGGGTACTTAGTGTAATTTGGAGTTAGATACCTTGTGTTATTATTATACTATAGGTCAAAAATTTATTACAGAAACAAGTGCCTGTGGTTTGTCTGTCCTCCTATGTAACTGAGTCTTACCTGACTATTTCCTGGGTTTGTCAGACCTTGTTTTTACCTGACTATTTCCTGAGTTTGTTGGACCTCCTGTGTAACTGAGTCTCACCTGACTATTTCCTGGGTTTGTCAGACCTCTCGTTTTTACCTGACTATTTCCTGAGTTTGTCGGACCTCCTGTGTCATGGAGTCCACCTGCTGCTGTAGTCTGGCTTTCTCTGCTGTGAGCTGGTCCACTTTATGGGAGCTGTCCTGCTGATTGTTCTTTATCTTCTCAAGCTCCAACTCCAGCTTAGAGGCCTACAGAGAGCAGCATCTCAAGGTCAGCAGCATTATACATAAATATTAAACATTAAATCTAACACATTGTTGTAGTTCTTACTTTCTGAGTCTGGGTGTCTAGCTGAGCCTTGGTGTGAGACAGCTGTCCGTCTAGACACGAGATGCGGTTGTCTTTCGTCTGACTCTCCTGTGAAATCTTCTGACGCGTTTTTTCGAGCTCCTCACATGACTCCGACAGCTGCTGAATCTCTCGCTTCAGTGAAGAAGCAGCATTTCTCTCCTCCTCCACCTTCCTCTTCTGAATTTCTAATGCCTACAATTATTTTGTCAGGATTAAAAAACTACAATCTCTAAAACAATTCAATGATTCCTTAAGCAATCTTAATTTTTCATTTTATCATCTTTAGTATTAACATTTGTTTGTTTTTTTTAATCATTTTTTTAAAGAATATTTGCTGAGAATTTGAATTTTAAAGAAGATAATGTCTTTATATCAGGTCTCCATGTGGCCGGGGATTGTACCTGCTCCAGACTGTCTATCTGGAACTGTTTCTGGTCCCTCTCTTTCTTCAGTTTCTCCACCTGTCCCTCCAGCTGTTGTAAAAACTTCTGTCCCTGGGGTGGGAGGTTAGTCTTCCAATCACAGTCTGAAATACCTGTGGTATTACCTAGTCAAAGAGTACAAAATGAAACATATACAATGTTCATGTAAATTTGCCATGCTATTTCAAAACTTTATAGCAATGTTCAGTTTTTAAGTTCTTGACATTAAAATTTATTTCATAGATAATGTCCCTTAAAAGAGTGGTTAAATAATAACCTGTTTCATTCATTTCCTTATTTATTTTAACTCCTCGTTATAATTGAAAGTGAAAATAAATTGAAAAAGTACAAAAAATAATCAAGTCACCTAGAAATCCTTAAAATAAAACTAGAGGTACTGTGAGAACTGAGCTTACAACATATTACCCCTCCACTTCCATATGAATATATGTAATGGCAAAAAGAAAATTTCTGCTATAGGGGACAAAATATTGGCATTGGTAAACATGGTAAAGTCTGGTAAATTTCATAGGACTTGGTCAGTGCACATTTTCTCTGATCAAAAGCTTAGATTTAGGTCATTTCAATTGTCAACCATTCCCAAAAATTCAACCTACTGTTAAAACTGTTCTTTTTTTTTTTCAAAGTAAAAGCAGCTGGTACCTGGTAAACAAGAGACTTGTTGTTGTCGCCCTCCATTCTGTGACTGTGACGTCCCAAAAATGTCATGATCGATCCTAGGTTTGGTCTGTGTTTGTGAGGTTCCGAATATATCATTATCCCTCTGGTGTCCATTCTGAGAGGTTCCGAACATATCGTTATCCCTCTGGTGTCCGTTCTGAGAGGTTCCGAATATATCATTATCCCTCTGGTGTCCGTTCTGAGGTTTGTTGTACGAGTTTTGGCTATGTGTGGCTCCCAGGGCTGCAGACTGACTCTTCTGTTGGTGAAGATTTAAATTGTCCAGTTTGAGCTGAGATTCAGTATTCTGTGTGTGGCTTTTTCTCAGTTCCTCCTTTAATTTTTCTATCTGTGCTTCTGCCTAATATAAGAAAAACATCTAACATTACATGGCTATAACTTAAGTTAAAGTTTTCTTTTTATGATTATTGACATACTACTCAGGTAATTAAGGGACATAAACCTGATTACCAAGCACAACAATATCAGATAACACTTGTGCAGCTCTACCTGACTTATAATAGTAATATACTCTGTACAGGGAAGTGAAAAAGTTGACATGATTTACCTGTTTTGCCATTGTATCATACTCTAGTTTCATGTTTTCAATCTTTGTCAAATCTTGTTCGTGGAGGTCCTTCCATTTCTTTATCTCCAGCTGTAGAAGGTTATCACTAGCTGTAAAACACAAAACAAATGATAAATCATAAACATGTTACAGTAACATGAATAATGGCCATGTACTTAAGTGGAGTTGGTTGCACTTGTTGAGGTGTCTTCAGTAACATGCTTAAGTAGAGTTAGAATATACCTGTTGAGGTTGCGGCTCCGGTGCCTGGTATCTTGTCACAGCTGTCCCCGAGCCTCCTGAGGTCCATCTCCAGGGCCCGGATCCTCTCCTGCTGATGGTCCAGCTGACCTTTCTGCTGTTTGCTGTACTCCTGTAGCTTCCCGTGGTCTCCAGTCATCTTCTCCATCTTCTTCACTAACTCATCGTTTTCTCGCTGTAGCCGCTCTAATTCAGACTGTAGCTGATTTATCTGAATATTAATCAAAACTTGTACACATAACTCATAGTTAACTAAAAGGAATTTTTGGGGTCATCCTCTTTTGTTCAAGTTGAAAACTAAGATATGAAATTAGGCCTGTTGGAAACTAACACAATTTTTGTACATATAATCAGAAAGGATCTACCAAGTGTTAGCAATGCCATTAAATTTGACAATAGCAACAATGTGGATACATGTATTTATTGAGATAAAGGGTATTAATATTAACCCTAAGTACCAAAAAAATTCTCCAGACCCATAAAGCTACAGGGATATACAGATGTAATCTAATGACTCTTTAGACTGATTGGGATCGTAATCCTACCTAAGGGAATAATTTTTGTCCTCGATCATGTCTATGATGAAAAAAATTATCTGATTTTTACATGTCAAACATACTCTCTAATAGAGATATTTTTTAATTTTAGGAATGAAGCTTATTTCAACTTATATTATACGATATAACATAACTTGGGGCAGTTTACACTTTATAAACAGCGAAGCGGTTTATAAAAAAGCGTAAACTGCCCCAAGTTTTGTTATATCATTTAATTTCTATAATATACTTGATTCTGATTGGATAAAAAATTCTTTTGATAACTGCATCAATAAAATCTAGAGTTCGCTTGCACTAAGCAGCTGGATCTACTTTGGCAGTCTTTACATGTATATTCCCGCTTCCAGATTACTTTTTGAAGGAAAAATAAAATACTTTTGCTTTAATAAATATTTTTCTGAATTTCGGAACCTGTCCGTTACCTTCCACTTATTTTCTACTTTCGTTTCATTTTGAGTTATCCCCCTTTGCTAAACAAATCAAATCGTCTGCATGACGACAATGCAGTTTAATATGGGAAAGAAGGGAAGAAATCGTTTAATCGGCATATTTTTCTTAAATGTTTGACTTTGAGATATCTGGTATGAAACATTGGTACTCTGAAAAAATGTTTTATTATGCTACCAAAGCGGGGAAAACCGTAAATCTGTTAAATCGTGGGAAACGAATGATCGAGAAAAACGACACTGCATGAATGAGGACGGAATTCTTTTAATCTTGAACAGTCGGCAGCAGACTCTTTCAGGTTTTACAGCATTAACTGGTTGTGATACTTATTTATATTTTCGGTTTGAAATTCAGATGGAAAGATGCGCAAATGAAATCCAAAATATCTGTGACCTAGAACTGTTCGGATATTTGAGTAGCTTCCCTTTACATTTATGAACTAAGATAACTTACCGGGAAAAATATACCCAGAGGGATAACACAACAGGTAAGTTTTTGTGTTAAAGAACTGTAAATTATTTAAGAGAATGTTGGTAACCACACGACAATATTTAAGAACGTTTTTTCGTAAGCATGGTTAGAGCCATTTTGAATTTTCAACAACGTTAACGTTATGGTGATGTATTCGTGCGCACTGTTTTAGATGCTTAAATTTAATAGAAAGTGAAAGAAACTTTCATTTTATTAATTTGAAATCATTACGCTACGCGCATTGATGAAGTTTTCCGTCCAAATTTTTTCTTTGATACATCGATCAAAGAAAAAAATATTACATTCATTTCTTAAATCATATAATATAAGTTGAAATAAGCTTCATTCCTTATAATTTAATTTCAGTGCAGACAATGAGACAATTTTCCCCCAGAATAAGGCGTCACATTGATTAAAATTTTGAAAGTAATGTCAAGCGGAGTATTTACGTTTTTTGACGTAACTCATTGTGACGTAGGCAAGTTATGTTATATAAAATGGATAAAATCTTTTTATCCAATCAAATGACGTGTTACAAGTAAAATTAAATTATTTGAATCTGATAGAGGATAATTTGTTTTCTTTTTTTCAATTATACCCCCCCCCCCCCCTCCCAAGCAGTTGTCTCTGTTTTGTGAAGTCCTATTCAAAACTTTCATCTTAATTTAAATCTGAATTCAATTAAAAATAACATGCTTGTGATAGTTATGATAAATTAAAATCTTTCACATACCATCCCTTGGCATGTTACAGTAGTGTTGTGTCAATGACTGCAGTCTGGTTTTGATTTTTTGAAACAACTAATTTGTATAATTTGGCTCCTATACTTTTTTACTCTGGTTATACATGCTTACTCTGGTCATACATGCTTTCAGTTTCAACATTTAGGATTAAATACTATTAAGTCATTTTTAAAAAATTGTTTGGTTGCCCTCTCCCAACTGACTGACTTAAAATGCCCTGATTCAGATTTTTTTTTAAATTCCAGGACACAAAATTTTTCTTATTTCTCCTCATATCCCATAGGCAAATATATGTATGTTTAAATTTTATGGGGAAAAAAATCTTCCCACCTACCTAACGACCCAATAATTTTACCCTGGGTCGGGAGAGGACAAGCAAATATTTTTTAAAATATGTCTTAATGCTTAGAAAATGTGGTTGGGACTACATGTATATTTAGAAACCAACACTGAGTGATTGTTATTACTTTGGTGGTTTCTGTGTCTAATTGTGCTGTAGTGCGTGATTATTCTTAATTTGCGGTTTCTGTGTCTAATTGTGCTGTAGTGCGTGATTATTCTTAATTCGGCGGTTTATGGGTCTAGTTGTGCTATATTGTTCTTACTTTGGCAGTTTCTTTGTCTAATTGTGCTATATTGTTCTTAAATTTGGAGGTTTCTGTGTCTAATTGTGCTATATTGTTCATACTTTGGTGGTTTCTGTGTCTAGTTGTGGTATATTGTTCTTAATTTGGAGGTTTCTGTGTCTAATTGTGCTATATTGTTGCGTGGACCCTGAGGTCCACGCAGTAAATATATAAGCGAGGTTATACCGGATGCCATGGGCAAACGACAGGCTACGCATGCGCGAGAATGCTAGAGAGTTCGTCCCTTAGGCAACTTGCCCATAGACTAAATCGCTCTATTCGAATATGCCATACATCGGAAAATCGCGCTTTTAAATCCGCATATTCATTAACGGATCCGAATTTCTCTCTTATACAAATAATATACTTTTATATACAAACTAAACATTGATTCTATGGCACAAGCATTTTAAAAAGTAGGAAGATTTTGCAGTATATACATTAGATGCATGTAACTTAACAACTTGATTAAAAAACGTCATTCAACGACTAGTTCTAGCGTTTAAAAGATAAAACAAATTTTCACCGGCATTAGTTTTAAGCATAACTATAGGCTCGCAAAATAATTTGATATTTCAGCAATCCAAATACCGTTTGATAGAGGTTTGTAGCAAAGGTTTTTAATATATGGGGGGGGGGCTCCACACACAAAAAATCTGCGTCCCTACAGAGCTGTGCTACACGTGTACCATCAGATCTCATTTTTCCAATGAATAGATTCTACCGTATAAATCCATAACAGTTGTCAAGTCCTGGCCGTTATGGGTTACATGTATAGAAATAACCAGATTTTTTAGACTGACAAAACTAAAGGCTGATCGGAGATAAAATTAAACAACTTTGCTTAGAGACTACAATCAGTCATAAGTAAGCGAATCATTGTAAAATGTGAACAAACCTACATGAATATTCACTACACCTAGAAATTTTCTTAAACTTAATTTCTGTTAGAAAGACATGATTTTCCAAGATTTTTGCTATATATTTTAAATAAAACTTGTTCATACTTTGGTGGTTTCTGTGTCTAGTTGTGGTATATTGTTCTTACTTTGGTGGTTTCTGTGTCTAGTTGTGCTATATTGTTCTTACTTTGGCGGTTTCTGTGTCTAGTTGTGGTATATTGTTCTTGCTTTGGCAGTTTCTGTGTCTAGTTGTGCTATAGTGAGTGATTATTCTTAATTTGGTGGTTTCTGTGTCTAGTTGTGCTGTATTGAGTGATTGTTCTTGCTTTGGCGGTTTATGTGTCTAGTTGTGGTATATCGTTCTTGCTTTGGCGGTTTATGTGTCTAGTTGTGGTATATTGTTCTTGCTTTGGTGGTTTATGTGTCTAGTTGTGGTATATTGTTCTTGCTTTGGCAGTTTATGTGTCTAGTTGTGCTATAGTGCGTGATTGTTCTTGCTTTGGCAGTTTATGTGTCTAGTTGTGCTATATTGTTCTTACTTTGGTGGTTTTTGTATCTAGTTGTGCTATATTGTTTTAACTTCAGCGGTTTCTGTGTCTAGTTGCGCTATAAAGCCTATATTGTTCTTACTTTGGCGGTTTCTGTGTCTAGCTGTGCCTTGTTGTGTGAGAGTTTGCCGTCCAGACAAGATATCTGGTTCTCTTTTGACTGTAGTTCCTGGGCCAGCTTCTGTCTCTTGTTTTCTATATCCTGACATGACTCGGATAATGTCTGGTTCTCCCTCTTTAAGGATGACTGATTGTTCTTCTCTTCTTCTACTTTCCTCTTTTGCACTTGTAATGCCTGAAATGTCAGTATATCATGAGTGGTGACTCACATACACAGACACAGAGGATCCCCCCAATTTTAAAGTTTCTTTATGTTTGTTATGAACAAAAGGATATCCAACTGACAAATGCTGGTTTTATTTCATATCTAAAAATATCAAATTATGTAGTATTTATACTGTAATTTTAAGTAGAACCAATAATTCAAAACAACGTCTCTAGATGTGATATAAACAAAATCAAAATAACTCTCCCTGTATAGTGTACAAGTAATAAGAAGCAAGAATGCAGTGGCAAAAATGGACAAAAATCATTTTGCTTCAGTAGAAGCCCTGACTTCATCCTGTTAAATTAATTCCCCTTGTTTTTTTTACCTCAAAGTCTGAAGAAAAATGTTCAGTCTCAGTAATAAATAAATAAATTAGCACATACACAATAATACCTCTGTTTATTTTTTATTTATTAAACCATTAGAAGAATGTTCAACTTCAACCTGTTCTAAGCTCTCAAACTGGAATTGCTTCTGTTCTCGTTCCTTCTTCATTTTTTCATTCTGGGCCTCTATCTGAGCTATCTTCTGGAGCGCCCGAGAGGGAAGTCCATCCTTCCACTCATCTGTTAGCCAGCTCATCTTGTGGCTGAAAACAGTTTTAATCAGTGGGAAAAATCAGGTTAAAATATGAATTCAAATAGAGGCATTAAACTCATAAAATGATACCCTTTGCTCCAAAGGATTATCAAAAAGTCAAAAACAAAATGGGTATCCCTTTCACCAAGTATAACCCCAAATATCTGTCTGATCAAAACATACACTTTAAAGGAGGTGCACAACGAGACTATTAAATAGATTCTCTAAAAGTCTCATTAAATTAATTCTTATTCAGTGACATAGGAAGAGTTTAGATATAAAGAGATGGGTATCTCTAATATCAATCTAAGAAAGCATGGCAAAGTCCATATTTTGCAAAAAGGAAACCCCAAATATCTGTCTAATTATCTGCAGAACTGTATCTCTTCGAAAAATATATTGATAGACCGGAGAGTTACAGTGCCACCCATTGAAAAAAACTATATATTTATTGTGCACAAAAAGGGCGCTTGTCACTGTGTATGGATTAATTCTTCTAAATTCTTAAATCATTTGCAAAACAAATTAGATTTCAAAAACATTCTATACACTTTCTATCAAGTACTTTCGTAGTTGACCTCTACACGAAGTGCGTTGGGCCGAATTATCTTACAAACCAAAAGGCAGTAAAAACAGACGAAATTTTCGATGATCTCGATTTCAGGGCAAGGGGGGCTATAAACAACAAATATAAGATATGATTTGTTTTGGAAACAGTGAAAGATTATGTTAGGAATACATGGTTAGTAATATTTTGAGATAATAGTTTTAAAAACATGGAGAAATAAATCGATAAACAGCGCACTTTTTTGTGCGCAATAAATAAACAGTTTTTTCCAAGGGTGGCACTGTAACTCTCCGTAGGAAATTGTAAAATAAGAGTTAACAATATTGCACTACGTATTAAAGATCTTGTCAATTTTTTTTCATGGAGTAAGGTGTTGAAGATGAGAAAAATTACACAAGTTCTTCAAAATATCATCGAGGAATCATTCCCAATGGCAAGTTTTTTTGCTACTGGAAATCCAAGTATCTGTCGCATCATATAAAAAGTGTACAGTGGCACTATAGATGAAATTCTAATCATAAAGAATAGATGCTCCGATAAAACTTTTTTTTTGAAAACATGAAAAATTTAATCACCAAAGAAAACCTTCCATCCATTGTTTCATAAAAACAATTATTTCAGCTTTATCTAACGAACAAAGCTTTGGGTTTACTCAGTACTGAAGCCTGGGACATTCTTAATTTTGTGGGAAGATTTATTTAAGATTAAAAGGCACCTGTTGCTGTAATTGCACAATTTAAGAGTGTGATCTGTTTCATCCATTTATAATTATCACCATGATCAACGTTTCTTATTTAAATTACAGGCAATGTCAAAGAGATTTGTCTTGAATTCTTATCAGCACGAGTAACATTTTTAAAAAATCAAATACTCTTATTTAATGTCAAAGTAAAGCTATATCTAACTTCAGTGCATGAAATAAGTTGCATACTGTACATGACAAAAGGTGGGGTGTTCAAAACATTATTTCGCACGTATAGTGCATTGGCTCTTTGTACGTAAATCGGATAAATAATTAACCGATCTTCTTTTTTAGGCTATTCATTTAAATCAATACCAACACATAATTAAAGTTCATTCATAAGTATTGAAATCATACCAAACGTGCTTATTGTCTTGTTTACCTTTATTCCGCGGCTTTCATTTAAAAAAATCCTACAATGCTTCTGCGCATGCTCATATTAGACATTCAGTACAAGGTTAATTCGTTCGTTGGAAATTTCAGTCCATTTCCATTTGAACAACAAAAGCCAGCTCTAGAAATTAAATAGTTTATTTACTAGTATTTCGACTTTGAAATTTTTAAAACATGTAACACTGACCTGAAACTTGATTTGTTATGCGCCAGGATCGAAAGATCCGAGGCGTATATTGTTTTTGTCCTGTCTGTCTGTCTGTTTGGCTGCAAACGTTAATCTTCGCGATAACTTTTGAACCATGAAAGCAATAGGCTTCATATATGGTATGCATACTCCACTAATTCAGCTCTTTCAAATGACACCAAGGTCAATGACCTTGTGCCTATAATATGCTAAAAATAATTTTTTTTCCTGCAAACTTTAACCTTCGCCCTAACTTTTGAATCATAAAAGATAGAGACTTCATATTTGGTATGCATACAAAACTGATTAAGCTCTTTTTAAAGGGTTTTTATCACGCATCGAAATTTCTTTAAAATTAAACACTAATATATTCTTGGAACATATAATTATCGTTTAATTATAAAATAATGTTTTAAACTGTCGTATTTAAGCCATAATACGTCCGTAATGTAAGGTCTTCAGATTGAAAATCTCCACTAATTAGATAGGGGTCACGTGGTACTGAAACGTCATAGGTGTCAATGGGCAATTAGATCTCGTAAAGCGTATCGTAAGAAAACATCTACCGTATAGATACTTGCATGAAATAAAAAAAAATACACCACTAGGTTGGAAGAAATTTTGATATTGAAAATAAAACTTTGGCCATGGATGCTATATGTATTATGGATGTTATATGTATTAACTTCTACAACAAAAAAATAAGCAAAAAACATACCGTCAAAGGAGGACAGGGCATTGAAGACGAAACCATTAATGACAACTCCGGATCCTGTCTTCGACTGAATAGATCGAATTATTAACGTTTGACTTTTTAAATAATTATAAAGATGGTCTTTATACGTTTTATTTCTTTGTTATTTTAATAAATTATACATAAACAGATTTTTTGTATCTTCTTTCTGTTACTGCAATAAACTTCATTTGATAGAAAGGGCACTTCGATCGCCAATGGCGTCGTGCGCCATTACGAACTTCACAACACTTAGTACATGATGTGTGTGTCGGACTTTTAAAATGCCTATTGATAAATTAATTTTTTTTTTTTAAAAATACTATTTCCATTTAATAGATATTTTATATAATACAGAAAAAATTTTGATCGTACATTAACGAATGCTCTGAATGGAAACAAATCCACGCACCGACCAAGTCCCTTGCAGGTAAAGAAAACTTCATAAAACCTTTCCTGTGCTGATTTTTCATCCAAGCGCCACAAATTATATCTAATTATCTATCAATTAACCAATTACCATTTATTTAATTTCTAGTAGGGTTTACATAGGAAGCCATTGAGACGTTTTGTAAACACAATAAGTACTTCGCTTGACCAGGACTGACACCTATGACGTCAGAGCAATGGCGCTCAACATCGGCGATCAAAATATGCATATTGTGAAATTTAAACTTTGAATCACTAAAACACCGAAAATATTAATTTTCTAACAACAAAAATTTGATGGAGGGTTTTAATAGCATATAAACTTTGTTATATCAAAAAATCATGATGCATGATAAAAACCCTTTAATGACACCATGGTCAATGACCTTGTGACATTGACTGTGACTTATACGCTGAATATAGCTTTAATTTCAATTTTATCTTCGCCATAACTTTTGAACGAAGAAAGATATAGGCTTAATATTTGGCATTGCATAATTCACTAATTAAGCCCTTTCACACGACACCAAGGTCAATCACCACCAAGGTCAATGATCTTGTGACCTTGACTGTGTCCTATATGCTAAAAAATAGCTTTTTGAATCTTCGCCATAACTTTTGAACCATTAGAGATAGAGACTTCATATTTGGTATATGCATTCTTCACTAATCAAGTTCTTTCTGATGACAAGATCAATGACCTTGTGACCTTGACTGTGACCTATATGCTAAAAATATGCTTTTTTACTTTGTTGCCGCCGGGCGCATAGTGTTTCACAAACACATCTTGTTTTATATTTCATCTTAAGCAATGTGTTCCCAGTTAAGAGCTAGTGTCTCCCCCTCTCCCTTTTTCAGTTTCAAAAGGTGCCTGCTCTTTTCCCATTCCACCTGATTTATTTGTGAGTCCATATCAACATGATCAGAGTATTACGATTCTTTCGAAAGCAAATTGCATTTAGATTTTTTGTTATTTTCATTGAGGGGAGGGGGATTGGATGTGTTTGTTTTTGTTTGAGAAAAAAATATGATATCAGGAGAAATCTTCAAAATAAAATTTGAAGATAACGAATAATGATCAAGTTCAAAAGTCCAATCGGTAAATCAGTACAAATACAGACTTAAAACAGACATGGAATCAGGTACCATGATGGAGAAATCATCCCCTGTCGATCGGTCAAACCAGCTGTGTGATCCTTGTACTCAATGGGCAATCAGAATGATTCATAGAAAACTCGGTGAGAAAATAATGGCCTAACAAATATTATTATTGAAAATTACCAATCAGCATAATAATAGTATAATGATATATAATGGGCCTAATGTAATGAAAGGTTGTTTTTGCTGACAAAGTCATGATTATATCTTTTGAAAACTACGTATCTGCGCCGAAAGTGAAGATAATTTTATTTTTTCTCTACATGTCATTTTCTCTACATGTCATTCCTAAATCATTGAAAATAACATTTTGTTCAATCGCTGGCAAATGTTTAATTTTTGTTTAATTTCATTATTGATTTCAAAAATTAAACCAGAAAATGTGTAGTTATCTTGTTCTAAAAGATTGTTATATTAAGTTTTTAGAAAGAGATAATTCATCATTTACATTAGTTAAAGAAATTCAAGATCTTTGTAGACTAGATCTACATTTTTCATTTGTGCGTATATGAATTCCATATGTCCACTCACACTATTTAGAATTAAATAAATTTTTTCACACTATTTAAATATTTTTTTGTATATAGATGTCGATGTGACAAAGTGTTGTTTTTATCAAATATAACAATTTCTTGATAAATTCTTGGATTATCAAAAAAATTGTGGTAAAAGCTGTCAACTGAGAAATGTTGTCATTCCAAGTGATACAAAATGTAGTTCAGTTTCAATAAAATTTTTTAGAGGAAAAATAAAATGATCTTCACTTCTGGCACAGATCTGTAAATTGGTGAGTAAACTGTTTTTGTAAACGATACAATGGGAAAACATTTACAAAATCCCATGACTGTCACATTGCAACCAATACACACGTAACGAAAAGATGTGCGCACGATTCCGGCATTCCGCACGCTACTTCAAAGTGTTTCGGCAATTATATACATTCACAGTCATGTGACGTTACAAAATGGAGACAGACGGTTGAAGAAGTTCGGGAACGGTGTACAACTGAGGGACAAGTAAAATGGAGATTATAAGTGTGCAAGTGTTAATTTTATTTGGTTTATTTTTATTAACTGTTATAATAGGACTTTTACCACTCAAGATCGTTAGTTACATCCGAAAACGGAGTGGCAGTAGTGTAGATCTGCACAAACAGATTGTGTACAAGCGAACGATTAGTTTACTGAACTGTTTCGCTGCGGGCGTTTTTCTGGCCACAGTTGTGCTTGACCTATTACCTGGAGTGCGGAGTAGTTTAACAACAGCATTGAAGGCCCTGAAACTCGACACACAGTTTCCGATTGCCGAGTTCGTTATGAGCTTTGGTCTCTTTGTCATTTTGGGAATTGAACAAGTTGTTTTAACCTACAAAGAAAACCAAATAAAATACGAAGAATCTGTAAAAACGCCTCTTTTGGCAAATGCTAATGATATACTTGAGAGACAGCAAAGTTTGACAGAGTCAGTCAGAAGTGAACATTCAATTTCTGGGATAACTGATAAACCCGTTCAGAATTCTCGAGGAAGCTCCAGGTCACTGGATAATGGTGCAGCACTGTCAGATGATGAGGAACACAGTGAATCACACGGACATTCACATGAAATAGAATTCCCACATGAACACTCCATGTTGAGATCTTTGCTCTTGTTGCTGGCGCTATCGTTACATTCCTTGTTCGAGGGTTTAGCTGTGGGACTACAGGAAGAAACCGATCAAGTCATCCAGATCTTTGCAGCCCTGGCTCTCCACAAAAGCATTCTTAGTTTCAGTTTGGGAATGAATGTTGCTCAAAGTAAAATGACATTGAAAGGAGCAATAAAGTCCGTCTTACTGTTCTCTATTTCAGCTCCTATTGGTGTGGGCATTGGGATCGGGATCATTCGATTGTGGGATTCAAAAGCTTCCAATCTAGTTCAGGGAATCTTACAGGGCATTGCATGTGGAACATTTTTATACATTACATTCTTTGAAGTCCTACCTCACGAATTCAATAATTGTGACTCCAGGTTGTTAAAAGTAATATTTCTACTTCTTGGATTTGCTGCAGTGACTGCCATTGTTTACTTTCATCAGTGACAACTATACATGTAGGCAATACTGGTTCAATATTATGGTTCAATTATCATGATGAAAAGAATTCAAAATACTTTTAAACATTTATTGAAATGGACAACCCAAGTCATGCATTTTTTCCTCACAATCACAATGTACATGTATAATCATGATAAGTATGTGCAGTATGGATCATGTGATGTGAGAATGAAAATGCTATACAGTGTAATACTTAATTGTGAGAAAAAATGGGTCAGGGTATTGATGTGAAACAATAAGCCTCTGTTCAGGCATCACCAAGTTCACTTTTATTCATCACGAGATCAATAAATCTGCTGCCTTAATGGAGATGGGGGGGATCCTAATTGAAGTTTTCTTTCTTTTTATCCCTATTACATAATAACAGAATAAAGGAACAAAGTTTGAAAAAAGTAACATTTATATTTTTGGGTCACTCCTGATAATCAATTTCTCTGTATGTTCAGTGCCTTAAAGGATACATTAGAGATCAACACAATATTTTCATCATATATATATTTTACACATAATTATTTAATCCATCAAATATTTTTCTTAGCAACTTTTTTTCCTTTATGTACCATAGTTTTATTTCTGTCTATGTAAGTCTTTATTTGGTGAATTGGGTCAGACAAAACCCAAAGCATGAAGGGTAAACCCTGATGCTTATGTTTACTAGTTTCTGGTTTTTGTGTTTTTTTAATGTATACATTTATCCGTTAACCATTCTAAATGTGTACGTTTTTCTATGAGTTTGAAATGTATACATTTATCTGTTAACCATTCTAAATGTTTACATTTTTCCATGAGTTTGAAATTTATTTACCAATTCATGACTTCCCACAAGCTTACTGTTTTTTGATTGTTTTTATTTGGGTTTTTATATGTTAGGCCATTCGAAGTTTCTTCTATGTTTAGCATCCGCGTGCCCCTTGGTTTTTGACAGCCCATGTCAGAAAAAACAAACAGAATCAGGAGTCTGAAAATTAATTATTCAGGTCAAAATTTGTGATTTCCGGCAATATCTCTAAATATTTATATAACATTTCATTATTGGAATAGTTTTAGTATTTAATATTTTGATTTTGCTGAAGAAAATAACTTTCTCTATGAAAAATAGATAAATGAAATCATATCTTTTGAATTACGTCATTCTTATTACTATGGAATATGGGTTTTATTTTTTTTTGACTTGTGTGTTTTTTGCGAATAGGTAGCTAGGTTTTCGAAAGATGGGTGGACGCTAAGCAGAGAAAAAAACTTGGAATGGCCTTATTTATATATCATATTAGAAAAATGCTTTTTTTGTCAATTGTACATTTAGCAGTTGACATATGCCTTTACCTGTAAAATGTACCTGTTATCAGTGGTTATTGAGGCATTTATTATAATAATATTCCACCCATACTTGATGCTGAACAGCTGATGTTTTAGTCACATGGGTTATAAAATGATCTGTTAAAGGATTTATTTTTTAGGCAATAAATTATTCTATTTTACTTGTTATGCATGAATACTATATACTGTTTTCACTTTATGGTAATAAAGTATTAAATTGTAATATCTATTTGCTTTTTTACCTTTTATTACAGGAAAATATCCAATGTTTAACAAAAATATATATCTTAATATAAACTGGAAACGAAATGAAAACAAACTGTGTTTGTAGTAACACTGGAGAAATAAGATATACATGTATTCCATTTATATACATCGATATATAATAATTATTAGAATACCGAATAGCTCTACATTTATTCAACTAGATCGGTGTTGACTAGGCATAAAAATAAGTGATTTTTTTTAGAACAATACATGTACGAATTTCCAAGTTGCATTGCCTTTAATAAAAGGTGGTCGAAGCTATAAGGACGTTTCAAGTTTTTTTTAAAATAAAAAATGAACTAGGGTAACCACTGTATACCGTAACCTCCTTTAGAAAGTGCGGTTATAAAAATATGTTGCTGCAGAACTCCGAAAAAATACCTGGGTATATTGACAGACCAGTCTGTCAATATATTTTTTTGGAGAGGTACAGTTCTGCAGCTAAAAATATGCTGTAAAAAATTTTGGTTTATTGTTATGCCCTCCCTTGTAAAAGGTCCAATGTTTTAATGTCAACAAAGAAAATGATGACCAGTACAAGAATGCTGCTAACTTACGTATAGCAAAGCGTTGGATATGCATGTCTGCTACTGTCAGGATACCAATGCAAGAGAGCAAGGGCAATAAAGATGGGAAAGGAGGAAGAAAAAACCGATACGGCAAGGAAGAGATATAACTACACCCTTATTTTGTCCCTCATACCTCCGCTTCCTTGCTTTGTGGTCCAGCTCCTTCAAACTGTTGCCATTATATTCACCCATCTCTTTCTTGTCTTACTGGTTTTGCTCCAAAAAAGAAGCAAAGAACTTTCATGAAAGTTTTGATTCTTATGGTCGGGCGATTATGCGGAAGCTTTTTCAAATGCTAGTATCCCTCCCTTTGTTTTCATTATTGCACCATGGAAGACGAGAAATTGTCCTTCTTTTGTTCAATAAAAACTCATCCATTCGCTCATCTGTCAAATGATCTCTTTTTGGAATAAATACATGCAGAAAGTATGAAAATTACACTACCATTATGTTCCATTAAGGGTCGTTTCACGGGCATTTGTTTTGTATACAGACACCCTTGCTTATTTTACCAAAAGGAGGGAGTATCTTAGGTGCCTAAGGGTGCCTATGGCCTGTCTGCGACGAATCGCGTGAAAGATTTTTTTTTAGTCTGTAAAAGTTAATTGCAAATAGAGAGAATAAGAAACAAAAATAGAACCTTAAGAATGCATTTAGGAGGACACTTCTCCCACCTTTCCATTACGGCAATGCGTGAACATTGATGTGCGTGACTTTTAAAATATTGCATACATGAAAACAAAACATCACCTTTCCTATTGTCGAATTACACGAACACATTGAAAACAGGACACATATATTCAATTACAAAACACATGATAGTTTTTTTCTTCACATTTTCCCTACAAAAAATATTTAATCGTATTTTTATTTCAAAATTGAATTACACTTTTGTGAAAATCTATTAATTCGATGTATGTTTAATTTTGTGCAAAACCAAACCATCTTTGGACTTTGATTAAGGTCTAGTTTTTACGGTTTTCTGAAATCCTCATCTGTCTATTTTTCAGCAGTGTTGCATTGATTTTAGGACACTTCCATTGTACTAACATATAGTTCAATTTGGATTTACAATATACACTTTCTCCGATAAACGTTTTAAGATAAAAATATAATTTACCCATGCGCTCATCGTAAGGTACTTGAAATTGAAAAAGTTCAGAGAAAAAAAAAACATCGAGAATTAAAAAGAGCGGTATCGTGAATTTTTGGTTATCAATTATTAAATGAGTCGTAAAACTTCCTGCTTAAATTCCCGGACTAATTGCTACTAATGGATTTGGGGGTGGTAGGCACTGAGGCCAACAAAATTATTTATATAAAATCTTGATAGCGGGAGAAAAATCAAGCTAATCCGAAAATTACTTCAAAGATTTAAGATGAGAATGGTGGCTTACAAACTTGTAATTTTATTGGGTATTATTGCATTAGTACAGAAGGGCACTTTCTGCATCTCGGAAAACCTTCAACAATACATTGAATCAGGCAAGTTTAAATTCAGTACTAAAAGGATTCATTTATTTTTGTTTGTCTGTTGAAAAGTATGTTGTTCATCTTGTTTTTCATTCTGAAAGATGCATCGATTAATATAGATTTCCATCGCAAATTAGTCCATTGTGTTATTTAGATACAAGTCATGCGCGGATCTAGATGGGGTGTCTGAAATTTGCAGTTAAAGTGTATTTAAATCAAAAATGACTGGACCGCCCTAGAAAATGCAGACTCCTCATAGAAAATGCAGTTCCATGTTAAACTCGTATGAAAAATGAAAGTTTTAGATTTAGATAGCTTTAAAAGTCAATGACTACCCCAACCCACCTCACTCTACCCTTTGAAATGAAACATAAGGAGAACAGTATTCAAGATCAAAAGTCCAAAATACAATACAAAATAGGAGCAGAGCAAACACGGACCTCCAAAAGATCAGAGGTAGGATCAGGTGCCATGGAGGAGTGAGCAACCCCCGCTGATCGGTCACACCCACTTTGTACTCCTCCTTGTCATGATTGGGAAATGACGGGAAAATCCGTGTATATCGTCAATTCAGTGTATAAATAATAATCTGAAAAACATCAGTCATCATTTGACTAATTGATAAATTGTATTTGCTGACACGGTCATTGTATCGACCACAGGACTTATGAAGTGATGGCTTTAAACGACACTTTTGATCTTTTTTTGTGAATTTACGTCGTTTTAGAAATTGTTCATACGTAGAGCATGCTCTTGTGTATCGAATTAACTGAGATACATATACTCCATATGCAGGTGATAAAGGTATATTGCTGCATAAGAAAGGGAAGTTGAAGATAGAAAAAGTTAAAGTCATCACTTTTATCACAGAGCTTGGTTGTTAGATTATCAATAACGTCTCTTTCAAGTAAAATATCCAAATATGAAACAGATCAGACGTGTCAGACTATGTGGTATCTTTTATCTCAAGCTCACCAGGAAATGAGTTTAGTGAGTTTAGGTTTTTTTCTGTCTTTGATTTTTTTTTTTTTGCCCCACTCCGGAAAAAAATCCTAGACCCGTGCCTGCTTTTCTAATAAATATCTTCATTGATTAAGTTTTCCTGAAAGTTTTCTGATTGTTGAAAGCCAGGGCTTTTGTCTACTCTTAGCATTGTCTTTTCTCTAAAATTCGGGGTAAAATACATAATTTGTTTCTTGAAGGATTTTCCTCCCTACCTTCCTTAGGCAAATTTTTCTCTAAGATTTTTTCGAAATCTATAGTGTTTTAGGTTACCTGAGTCACTCAAATGATTCTTACGATCTGTTTTTCTCGATTGTAGTCCGTAAACTCCGTTGTAAGCTTCGAACATTTCATGCCTCAGCATGGAGCAATGTTTATCATATTAGAAAAATTATTTAATTCTTTGAAAATCTTCCTTTAGTAGGTAAACCAATGAAATGAAAGTAATTAGTAAACCCTATACAAAAATACCAATCCTGAACCATATACCATGCACCATACTTATAAACACTGAACCCTCTTTTAAATTCTTTTAAATTCTAATTGCAAAAAGATAACGTTTCAAGTTTCGGGGTGGCATCTTCGCTAGCCAAGGGTTTCCGATCCGATACCCACTCTACGTATCGGATCGAAAACCCTTGGCTAGCGAAGATGCGGGGTGGGAGTTGGTCATACATTGTACATGTATGTACTCGTATTTTTAAAGTAAATTCTGCTGCTTTACTTGTATGAACACGTTCTGAATTAAGAATAAATTTGCAAAAATTTAAATTTTTAGCATTGAAGGAAAAAAGTACATTATCATTTCAATACAATAACGCCAAAAATGTGAAGAAAAAAATCTTGGCTTTGGGGGGGGGGGGGGGGGCCACACACACACACATGCACACACACAAGTAACCCCCCCCCCCCCTTCTCTCTCTCTCTCCAGATAAAACACTCCCTTCGAATATAAACACAAATTATATTTAAATTGATGATCATATGTATTTTATTTTAGATACCGGTAGAGCTGTGAAGAGAGACAATTTGGAGACTTTGTTGCGGATATTGGACAAAGAACGGACAAGCTATCGTCCTCTGATTGACAGCTCAGGACGGAACAAATTGTACCAGCTACGGTTTGGTATAGGGGGACGATAGGACATGTACAAGTTAAACTTTGGTTTAAAGGACAAAAATCAACTGTGCATATATGTATCATACATTCGGTCAATATGTGCATATTTTTCAAAGTTTTCTGCCAAAACTAAAATACTACATAAATCTGAATAAAGGATTCCATTATACAGGATTTGTGATTGTTAGTATGGTTTTACAGTTTGTACACATGTTTAAAAATCTAATTCTGGGCATATCTTTTTAATGTGTAAATTCTAATGAATGAATGAAATAAATCAAAAATTCTATTTTTTGTCTTTAGTTGATTGGTTATTGTTTGACACCAAGTCAGCAATACTTCAGTTAAATGTCGGGCATCGTCTCAAGCCACGGTCCGGAGTCCGCATATAGCTCTCTGAGTCTCCCACCCGTGGCTGCATGATCATAAAAAGTGTACATTTTGGCTGTGGTTTGCGACGATGTATGTCGGATGGTTTCGTTGTTGACATATAGCGGGGGTGGATTACGAGGAAGGGTCACTCCCTCTTGAGATAGGTTTTTTCACATTTGGGCAAGTTTTCAACGTTTTTTTCCCACTCAAAAAAATTCCGACTCTGATTATGCTTGGGGAGAGATTTATGAGTAAAACCTGCAATAAAGAAAAAGATGGAAGACTAGATTGGAGTTACCTCAGGGAATAAAGGTTAAGTGGAATATTTACCATCAGAATCTTCTTCAAACGACGTATTGCTGATGTTGTAGATACCCTGCAGAAATCTTACTCCTTACGGGAAGAGTTCAGTTAAAATAT